TTCCTGACATAGAATAGAGGGGCCTGGCTTTGTCTCTTATTGCTCTAACAGTCCAAAACTGGCCAGTTAGGGATATTCACCAGAAAACGCCAGCTTTCTTTCTCTCATACCTCACTTCCCTTTACATACAGCAGTCTTACAACTGCAAGACATCCTGCTCATATTCTTCAACAGAAAAGACGTGACACATTTCCTCATTTCTCATGCACCAATTTATTTAGTACCGTTTAAAAGAAAAATGGCTGAAAAGTTGACGTCCCGCTCTGATGCCAAATAATTGCAAAAAAAACCCCACTCCTGGATTAAGGGAGGTGGTGGGTCAGCCTGATCCCGAATCCTACGCAATCGTTTGAAAGGAAACCCATTGAAAGTCACAGCCCAACTGCCTCTCCTTATCTCTCAAGTCTCTCAGTGATTCCAATTAACATTCCTTTCCCGTTTAGAACAGTATCTCAGAATAGAGGAGGGGAAAAAAGCCTTCCATTCCTCTCTCTCTCACACACACCCACACTGATCAGAACCCTCGGTGTTACACAGACCAACAATAACTACCTTTTACAAAGGCAAAAAATGTGTCTGCTTTCTTCGGAACACAATTAACGTAGGAAGTAAAAACCAGGTTGTTGTCAATATAAAAACATGATCATTATTTAGCCTTCAGTTTGCACTCCTGGAATTTGAAAGCGGCCCCCTTGTTCCACTGATCCCCCCTCCATCGCTCTTTAGGCTGCAGAGCATCTGAGTGGGGCCCTGCTGAGGACGGGGCAAGTCTGTAGCCCCCTTGAGTGGACCCCTGCCCAAGACCAGCAGCAGAGCCGGCGATTCCCATAACCTGAGGGCACAGCAGAGGACACAGCGGCAACTGCGGCAGACGGTGCGATCCCGGAGTCACCGGGAACACCAGCACTGATTAAGCAAAAGGGCACCGCTGGGTACGGGCTTCACGCGGGGCATCGGGTGGCAGAGGGAGCCAAGTGGAGTGTCGGTAAACACCAGGGAAGTAGCAGTTTTCCCACAGCAATAAACCCTGGGGTGCCGGACCGAGATTGTTTAGTGGTGAAAAGTCCCTTTCAAATCCAGGGACAAAAGGGACAGATTTAAAGAGGTTATTTTAATGGAGCCTAACACTTCACCTCAGGGAAAAAAAGGCAGTTCTTCCAATTCATAAAAAAAAGATGTAAATTTCAAATTGGCAGCTGATGAAATGCCACTGGATTAAAAAAAGGGTGCGCTGTCACTCAGCTCTTAACACCTGCAGCAACACTTTTTTGGGGAAACAAAACCACAAAGCTGCTTAAGCTGCTTCTGATAAGGCTGCAGTACCCAAATCCGGCGATGCTCTCAAAGACCATCAGGGATATGGCATCACACAGCCCACTGAGATGAACACACAAGATTCTTGCCAAAAGGCATGTATTAATAAAATATCAGAGTAACAATGGTGGTAACTACCAACTTCTACTGAAGATTAATAGTATTTTCAAAAAATATAATTCTGATTGTTGCCTGAACCACTCTCCTAACTCTACGGTTGTCTGCAGAAGGTACGTTGATCCATCTCTAAGAATTTAGAAGTGTAGTAAACAGCTTATTATCCATTAATAAAGTAATTCCTAAACTAAAGTATGAAAAACACAGGGGCTAAACTCATTTCCCTTGGGACCCTAAATGAAGCTTATTCACTGAACAGGTCAGACTTTGATTCCAATGTGTTTCAATAACGCATCTCAGACCCAATGCTATCCGTGCAAGGCGGACTCCGTAGCTAAACACGGGACTCCTGAATGTGATTCCAAGAACAAAGAGTTTGAGGTGTTGCCTGAAGAGAAGCAGGGCACTTTAGATTGTGCTACACTTAAAAAAAAAACATCTGAAGGCCCCACTTATAAGGTTTAATGCAATTACACAGACTCCTCTTTCAAAGGAATTAAGGGTCCTATTTACTAAAATCAATACTCTTCTAGGCAGACTAAAGTAGCGGCTTATAGCTTGGGGGAGGTAAAAAATAGCGACACGGGCAGAACTGAAAATCAGATTCCGCTGAAAGCGCCTGCACCACGCAAGGCCGGCGTGCTCGGAGCAGAAACTCCACCACGCATTCAGAAAATGCAGCAAATGACGCCAGACAGCAACGTTATTCAGATCAGCCCCGGGCACCCCCGAGAGAGAACATGTCTTCCCTATATGGCTTCATGCCAGAAGATTAATTTCCACTTTCAAACTATTAAACTGGCTTTTCATATTTTGACTCCCAAGACGGTGCACCAGTGATTAATTAACACACACTTCATCTTAAACAGAAGAGGTTTTAGGGTGACCTTGTTTTGAATTAACACTGGGGGATAGCGGTCCATTTTGCTGCCTGTTTAGCCTGGGTTTCCTTTCCCTCTTGGTGGAAATTTGCAGGAGGAAGGAAAACCAAGCCAGAATCATTTCCTACACATCTGCCAGGTTTAATGAGATGAAGGTGACTGGGCATTGTTAAAACAAAAGAAACTGCAAGACCCCTGATTGGAAAGTAAATCCATGTTTCGTGATCGTGAAGGGTTTTTCATGCTCAGGCCCATGAACAGCAGGTAGGCTGGCGAGGGCCATACAATCTCCGAGTGCTCAATGACCTCCCCAAGGACACAGCTGGGGGCCCTTGAAAATGCTTCACATCCACACCTCCCAGGGAAGCAGAAAGTGATTGAGGGAGACAGGGCAGATAGGAAACAAGCAGAGGTGATTACAAAAACCCAGCCCCCCCCCCCCACAAACATGAGCCCCCCTCTCACGGTCTACCCTTATGCCAGGATTGAAAGCAAATATTTATGAAAGCATTTCCATTCCATCTTAAGAACAGATCTCCAGCCAAGAGCTGTTAACCTTCTGTCCCAGCCCACTCATTCTTCGAACTACTAACACCCAGTGAAGCAGCCACTGGAGATCGGTTTTGCACTGCGTGGCTGCTTCTGCTGAATGGATCTGCGAAGCATGCATGGCTCTAGCTCAGCCTGAGGAATGCGTTCAGGCTGGAAACAAACAGTTCTGGTCTAGGTCTTTTGCAATCGGAAAATGCAGAAAGTCCAAGTGATGTGTTCACAAAAACCAAAGAGGTCACATGGTTGACTCCAGAACAGTCAGCTGACCAGATGAGGACAGATTTGATCACCTCTGTCAATTTGCTGGTAATTTTGGTATTTGGTATATCCAAAAGCAATCCAATTTGCAAGAAAACACGGTGTTTGAAAGGCACAGTACAATGCAAATGGCAGAAGTGAAAAAGCATTTACTAATAAGAATTCCATGCATTTTTGTTTTAAAGTGTGTCTATCACAAAGTGCTGTACATACTGTACAGTATATTGAATAATATGACAATAGCCGACTGTAAGAATTAATGTAGCATAACCGATAAATTAAATAAGAGTTTGAGAGAATACTACAATCCTGCAGACAAAGATTAAAAAAACATGAAAGCTCTCACCAGGGCAGAGCACTGCATTGCTTTGAGAGCTTGTCAACCTCAGAGCAAAGAGCAACTGCATTGCTTATTCCAGCTTTTGTTTTTACAAATGGAAGTTTGCGGAATGGCTGCAATTCACATTTGTCATTCCAACAGAATAACATGTTTCTTCTGACAATTAAGTCTTTGAGCGGGGTTACAAATTGTTTCCGTCACAACAGGCAGATGTGCAGATCTGTGCCTTTTAACCAATGGCTGCAAGCAAGTTCTAAAAGTCACCTTAATGCAACATTTTGTTGTTTGGTAGTTCTGTAACATGCAGTATGAGAGCAATTGGTTTCATGTCAAGAAGAGTTACTTTAATCAATGCCCTTGCAACACACAGCTTTTAGTCTCCAAACCCCAGTGAGTAAGTGCTGCTCAAAGAGTTTTTCCAGGGTTTCAGCGAGGGAATTGCTTCATGCAAATTAAAAGTCTTCATCTCAAAAGAGTCTAACAAGGCTAACATTTCCATGTGATGTGAAAGTAATGTGCCTTTAAATCATTTTGCAGCCCTGGCCAAATACCAGCATCCTACCACCGAATACAACACAGGCCATTACTCCCCTTCGCAAATGATACACATTTACAACTACTGTGATGTAAAGCCCAAATCGCATGGCGCACAGTTACAGCACCAAAGTATTCTGCAAACACAAAGAATGCTTTCAAAGGTATAGAAAAAAAATCAAGTTGTCTTCCTCTGGGTGCCCCTGCAAGTTCTTTAACCGATTTCAGGCCAGTATACTGTAACAAATGAGGCCGTTTATCTGCAAAAAGTTAATTGCACATTTACACAAATTAAGCTCAGATCTCAAAATAAATAAGCCTCAGTAACACCTCCTTTGAGCTCGTTTTCAGGGAAGGGACAAGATAAATTGGTGGGCTACTTCCCCGCTGGTAGCAAAAGTTCAACTGCCACACATCCTAATGCAACTGGACACAGTGGCTAGGAAAAGGAGGAAAAGGATTTGTACACAATCTGCGACTTTGCAAGCAACAGATCAGTTCACAGAGATACTAGAGGCAGGAGAGGCCACAGAAAACGAGCCCCCCACCCTAGAGAAATCAAGTAATGCAATATTAATGCTTCCATCGATGCAAAAAGTGATCAAAGGCTATTAGGTTCAACCCAGATTATAACGCAAGTCAGGTATTGTTAATTGATACAAATGATTGTTCAAATTTCATTTGTTTAGAACACACATTGATTTTTGGGATATGACCAGACAGAGCTCTCTCTCTCGCCGTTTCTGTTGCGTGCACTGCCTCAGTAAATTTAATTACGTCTGCTGTAGTCAGAGCAACATTTCTCTCTGAGGCAAAGCACTATGACAGACCATGTTTATTTTTTATCTGTAGGCTTGGACTTCAGGGCCCATTATCACTGCGAAATATACAATATAGTGGAGCAGATATTTTGCACATTAAAACTACTACCCCCACTACCAAATAGCAGAGCTGAAAACTGAAATTGTAAGCAAAACCTTAGCAACGGTGAAAGACTGCTGTACCTTTGGATGAAGGAGAAGACCCATAAAAATCTCAGGCCACTTTAGCATCTATCCAGTCCACTTTCCTTGCTGAGCCTGAAAGACAACAGAAAAAAAAGAAAACCACTTTAAAACATCCCTCTTTTCAAAGAAAGCAATCGAAGACCAATAAAATACCAGATTGATCGGAAACAAAAATAAAGCCTTCAAAGAACAGAGAAGCAGATGAGTTCGTTTTAACAGGGGCTAGAAGATGACACAGACTGAAATGATTTCTATATGAAGTGCTTTAAGACAAATTAAGTTGCAAAACCCCGACACTGAAATTATACACACATCAATCTCAGTTTTCTCTTTGTTTGTAGTTTTTCATTAAAACACAGAGGAGACTTAATTACCAGAGATTATAGCTCAATGTGTGGCAGTAATGAGCTTGCTGCAGTTCATAATCTATGATAATTCTTGGTGTGTACAGAACATATTGCAATTCAATGTCAAAGTAACAAAATGTGACCGTTACATTCTTCACTTGACTTAAACAGGATTGTGCCGTTTTTCTAAACTTTATGCAAAGTGCTACTTGATGTAACATGAAATTGCACTGAGAACAACTGTAACAAACATTAAGAGGCACAGTATGGTTGTTTAACTTTTAACCTTTAAACTAAGTTACTTTTTTTTTTTACTTTACAGCCATGAACACACTCAGAAAAGGATTAAACAACTTACTTTAAAATGTCAACATCAAGTAATGGGGCCTATATAGTACAAAAATAATTGGTAAGGGGGCTCGAAAGGTTTGTTAATAATCCAGACCTACTGTAGGCAGAATAGCCCCATTTCAGAACATATAATAGTGTCAATATTCCAAAGCATTTGAATAATGCCTTACAATAGCTGGAGGCTGTAGAACAAGCGAAGATACTTGACAGGGAGTGCATTACTGGGATATGCCCCGCTGTGGGATATAAAAGCTTAACCCAGTTTCAGGTGAAGTGCGTTCTGAGGGAAGAGTTTCCACTGCACTGCGCAGAGCGCCAGGGCTCCGCTCCCTGGAGGAGCAGGGACACCGCTCTGCCCGACAGCCAAGACAGTCCGGCCACCTTGGTTCTGGTTCCGGCCAGGAGAGGAGCCTGGAATTCCACTTTCTCTCAACCCAGCAGTGGGCAGCCCTCACAACTTCCACGCCCCTGTCATGTGGGGTCCATTACTGCGATCGGACACACAATTCCAGCCTGCCGGACACCCGGACTGGGATCAGCCTCTGGACTCATGACCATGACCAGTAATGGCGTCCTGTGGTCGCACTGCTGCTCTCACAGGGTGATATTTATCAGACGCTGCCTGTATACAGTTCACTCCACGCCTGCATGTCCATATTCCCCATCTCAAGGTCACCATCTTCCCAGCGAGCAGTTTCTCAATATTCCTACTTATTGCAGCTGTTGGGAAAGAAACTCTGCACGTCTCCAAGCCATCTCAGCTTCAGGGCTTATTAAATAAAGAAAGCTAGATATTCTGTAAGAGTGGTCAGCACCAGGCTAATGTGCAAAGCAAGGATGAGTGCAAAATTGCAGCATTTCTTTCTTCATAAAGATAAAATATACGATATGCCTTAGGAATAAGAGTCTTAAGTCAAAGTGCATATGCAAGACAAAACCTGAAAACTGGACATACAGTATGCTGCATTTCTAAATGGAAAACTGCACATTTTGCCACCACACTCATCTGACAACGAAAGGGTTAACAGCCTCTGTGTCATGTTTTCTTTTGTCCTGGGGCTCTTTCGTTTTTCAGAGTTCCTGATCTGATTTTCCAAGCAAACTGGAGCGGAACTCCAAGCCCGACGCCGCATCAAAAGGCAAAGACCTTTAAAGGGGCTTCTATAGACAAGCCAGTTCAATACAGAGAAATGCCAGCCTGCTCTGCGCTCTTGAAACCTGGTTACAGCGGGTGCCGTCTCCAGCCGATGCCGATGAGTTGGGGCTTCTCTCATCTGAAACCGCTGGCTGGCCAAAGGAATGAACTGGCTGTAGGGAGAATGAAGATGTGTTGCACAGAGCACAGATCTCCCCTTGTCTCACACTGTCCCATTCTGTTTACGTACAGTACTGCTCCCTCTCTAACCAAAATTCTGGTCAGGCTTAAACCTTAGAACAATAACCAAAGGGGAAATCATTCTGAAGCAACCCAAAAGCGAAATAATCTGGTTTTAAAAGGACATGCGCACTGTCATACATTCTTCCTTCACACGTGGTTGTGCAAACACAGCAACACTACCACGCCTAGTGTCTTTGGAAGGGTAACAATTAACTGTTAACGAGGGTCAATGCCAGGGAAGAACAGTGTAAAGCAGAGATCCACATGGATGTAGGTCAGTCAGGGGTCACCTTCCTTTCACAAAATGTTGGGAACACCGGCAATGAACTATGGTTCTATCCCAACTTGGGAGTGCCAAATTCACAGCCCATTCTTGTGAAAAGACATTTCTAAATTTAAAAAAAAGTACACACTGTAGCAGTCATTTCCTCTCCTGAATGTAAAGCACTTTGGGATCCATCAAAAAAGCACTCTTATAATTAGTGTTAGCGGGAAAAAAAGACAAACTGGGCAAAGCTGGCCTATACTGCACGTGGAGGATAACAAATGAGCTAGAAAATTCAAAAAACAATATTTGAAAGACGCAGTACTCTCTTGTAGTGTTGCGGGGTTCTGAGTACTGTAGGGCAAATCTGATTTCGGGCCTACTGTGGTACTCAGATCCACAATTTCAGCCAGAACAATAGAAGAGAAACAGAATGAACAGTTTCCATTCCCTAAGTAACACAGAGTGCTACACAGTGTGCAAAAACGCTGATTCTCCTCTTTAACAGTTTATAGCTTTAAAAGTAATCTAACTAAAACATCATAACCAGAAAAAAGGTTTTTTACACTGTTTTTCATTCAGCCACTGCCTGTTAAATCTTCACACGGACCAAATTACTACATTTTAGATGATATCATATGCAGCAGATCATTGAACACTGCAGTTACTTTCCCACCAAATATATTTTTGATGAGAAATGCAGTATTGAAATAAATGTAGCATGATAACGCAGGGCAAAGCTGTTAAGATCCAACATCTGACTGCTTTTCAGACCCAAGAAGTGTCGTATTTTTAAAAATAAAGGTGAGAGAAAAACAACATGAGCTGCAGACAGTCTTCACAGATGACAGCGCTTTCATTCCATTAAGAACAACAGTTAAAATACACCCACAGCCCACATGAGAGAGAGTGTTCTTCACTGCACTTAAGCCAGACAAACATCAGGCTTCCCTGAACATAAGAGAGTGCAGCTGATGGGACCAAGGATACAAATCAGTTCAGGAGCAATTGGTTCCAGTTCACAAAGACTGTCCTGAAATCCTTAATTAGGAAGCTCCAAGACAGAGACTAGCCACTGTCACTACAGCATTAGACCAGACTACCACTCTCAGTCATCTCAAGCATGAACCTGGACACTCTTCATACAGGAACATCAACATACGGCAGGCTGGCTCCTGACCTACAAATAAAATAGCTGTTTCTAATTACAAGCAGACAAAAGGACAGACGTGGAGACTGAAGCATGTAACTATTACTGGACAGTGATGAAAAAACACTTTATATGACTGAATAACTGTACAATTCTGTGGCGGCAACTGCTGCAGTACCTGGGTTACTGAATTAGGGACAGATTAGTGGAAAACCAGCTGGACAGAAGGTTCAGACAAAAGCACACACTGGGATTCCTGCCACACCTACCTGTGTGAATGCAGAAATAGAGAGACTCCCTCCTTGCACACCTTAAATGTCTCCCACACAAATCACTTTGGTCCATTTAGCTTGGAGCATGCTGTTAGCTACCATTACATGAGAATGACAAATTGCACGTAATAGAGCAGACAGCATTTCGCTGCCACAAAAATGTGCTCATGCTTTGCTCACGTTAGCACGGCATACCAAGCCAGACCCTTAAGCGATATAAATCACACATCGAGTGAGACCGTTGGGAAACATTTAAGAAACATTCACAAGAGGAACGATGCCCTAATCTGTGAACCACCCAGAGAATCCAGGCAGGACTGAAACATCAGGCTACGACACCAGATCCAAGATTGATGGGGAGGTCACCAGGAAGAGAGCAGATTCTGGAGAACTCTGCTGCCATGCTCCCTGATTATGGCTGAAATCAACCAAAGATGAAGAAGGCTGCCCCCCCCACCCAATTACATTAAGCAGCCCAGCCCTGTTGTTGAAGGCGATACCCTGGCTTCTTCCAGGAAATGGCTGGATGAGATCCTTGGATCAATTAACTACTAATGACTACTAACGACTCATGAGCTTGTTGGGCAAAAAGGCCTCCTCTCACCTCCCATGTTTTCATGGCACAGTGATTTCCTGAAGAAGCCAGTTGTTCTTTGGGGTGCGTCTTTAATCGAAAGGTGGTCTAGGAGCGATGCACACCAGTGTCACGGTAACAAACAGTCCACATCAGATCAGCTCCGAAACTGAAGCGGTGCCCATTTCCGGTTCAATTCCATTGCATTTTCTGCAGGGACAGCAGAAAGCAAGGTCACCAAAATGAACAAAACATTCATCAAAACGAATATCTCGTGGTCTGTTCTTGACAAGCAGCTATCCATCGCCTTTGTCACTCGCTTTTACCAAGCAAAGAATAATTAAGAACATTGCAAACCAGAGGAAACTTTAACTGGGAAAAACCTGCCGATTGTATTCTGGTACACTGCACAGCCACATGGGTTCACTCGATTCTTAAACAAAAAGCCCACAGGCCTCTGTCAACAAAACTAGCGAAATCTGACAGACCAAATTTTCAGGAGTCTTTCATATGGTTTCAGAAAAAAAACATTATATTCTAAAAGAAAAGAGGAAAAATCCCAAAGCCTGTTTGTTATGAATCCAGGGAAAGCAGCCTAGATAAATGAACAGGTTCTTCTGTTATCAGATGGAATTAACCGAAAAGGTGGGTTGCGCGATTCTCCAGGGGGAACTCCAATTCAATAAAAAATATTACAAAAGCCGGTCACAAACTGCTGTCACAGCCATTGCAAGC